TATTACACCAGAACCTCCCATAGTCACCATTGGATCTTGGCTTGGCGCACCATAGAGCCCAGCCGTGGGCAAACTGTTGCTGCTTACTCTGGTTTGAGCTTGTGTTGCTGCTATTGTGTTGCCATGAGCCACAGGCTAACTATGGCCTACTTCTTCTTGGGTTTAATTTTGCACTCCAGCGGGGATAACTCTACCGCCAATTAACTCATCACCAACATGGTGTGAGTGAGATTCTAAAGAGTGGTAAGAATCTCTTGCTGAGTATTTTGAAGTCCTTGAATGGCTTCAAGCAAAAATGATTGATCTGGAGCCATGGTCCTATCATCATCACCATTAGAGGATCCTTGTTGGTAAACTTTATCTTTTCCCGCCATCCTTGCCGGAGTTGTGTGGGTTCCGGATCTCGTTGAGATCATTAACCAATCTGTCTCTCTCTAGTGAAGTCGTCAAATGTATGAGAGGGTTCAAGAACGTTATTGGAAAATTCGAATTTGAAGAAAATTTGAATTCTCTAGAAATGATGAGAGGCTTAGATTCTTCAACAGTCACAACTAAGAACGCAAAAGCAAAGAGATGATGGAGATAAGAGATTGGGTAAAAAAGAAGAAAAAGTAGTTAGAGACAAAATAATGGCATGGCTCTCCCATAAATCTCTCACTTTCACTCTCAAGGTAGATAATGGAGAAGGCAAATTAGTTCTTTCCCAAGAGTTGTCTCTCCAAAATCCATCTCTTGTAAAGCTATGGATGGGTGCTATTTATAGGCACCTCATGAAATAGGATAGAGTCCATGTGCAAGGCACATGGGGAATATTTTCTTTAACCACTTTGTCCGATGAGGTGACCTCTCTGAGGATGAGGAAAATCCCGAAGAGGAGATCAACCTCTCGGTGAACCCTTTTTCGCGGCCACACCTAATCAATGATCTCCAATCATCCTAAAGGGCCGAGGTAGTCCTAGAGGGCCCCTTGCCACTAATATTACCGAGTCTCATAGACCCTCCAAGGTCGTGCCACCTCGACCCGGGCATAGGCTAAATCAATCGATGAATGAATTCATTTTCATCCACCGTTCTCGAGATTCGGGCCATTTGTTCGGGCTCTAACCTCACTCATGATTCTGTTGGGTTGATCCCGGAATGCTCCAAGCCCGCAAATGTTTTGGGACTCACTAATGGAGCGGCTTTTAGATTGCGATCGAATCTATTCAAAGCCTGAGTGCCTCAAATCTCAGACTTGCTCAATACGCTTTCGAGTACAGGCCCGAGTAAGTCTCTAAGTTCGTGGATCCGAACTCTTTCGAGACTTAGAGTAATCTGGCCCGTTTAGTGGCGATAAATCCGGGCCCACCAATCTTGGACTTTTTTGATTGGGCCTAATTAATTTAAATGGGCCCGACTTGACTCCTCCTATAATAACATTATTTAGAATTATAAAATTTTACAGTTTCATAACATGTTTTCCAATTTGATTAATATTGAAAATTATTTTCTTAAATCCTACAAAAATTGAAAAATAATATATATTTTTTCTATTGTTGTTATTTTTTTTTTCTTTCAATTTATCAATATTTAGCATTTTTTGCTATATTTTTTCACTCAAACCTCTCCATTTATTTATTTTTCCGGCAATATTCTGGACATTCCGGTGAGTTTCTAATGATATTCTTGACGTCCAATGAACGTTCTGAACATTCCAGCGACAAACTTCCGACGATACTTCGGCGACTTCTGGTGACTGTCAAATGGAAATTCGACAGTGGTGGGATGTAATGACGTTTTTGGTAACAACTAAAAATATGTAGGATTAATTGGTCAAGTGTTTTGTTTTGGAACTAGATGAGTTTTAAATTTTGTACATGAGACTTATTGGTAAGCGCTTTTTTTTTTCTTCAAAACAAAAAGGAACAATCGTTTTTTTTTTTTTTTACAATTTTTTAAAAATTTCATTTACAAATAATAGAAGACCACATGTTTGTGTTTTTTTTAAAAGGGTTATTTGACTCTTTTTTTTTTTCAAATACAATTCTCTAAAGAAGTATAATGAATTAAAATTTTTATACTTTTCATGAGTAATTTTCAAAATTGTCAAATTTCACACTTACAGGCCCTAAAAAAGTGTAAAATTTTACTATTTTCATACTCTAAGCTGTGTTCCCACAATTCCAAGAGTTTAAAACCGTATTACAAATTGAAATGTCAAACAAATTACAATTATGAACACAAAAATTGTGACAATTTACACCTTTCACAACTAATTTTTTTTTCTAAAGTGTAAAAATTCATTACAACTCCAAAAAGTGCAAAATTTTAAATAATTTCATATTTAAATATGATATTGTTACAAAAATAGAATTTGTGTACTAAAAATAACTCCAAAAAATAGATGTGTGGTTTAAATTGATTGAAGATGAGAACTCACCATATAAAATTGAATCTAACCACTTGATGTTTTAGTAGGGGTGTTCGCAATTTGGTTTTGGACGGTTTGCAGATCGGTTTGGACCCGCCCGCATGAGTGTAGTTTGGGAAAAATTTAACTCTCAACTGCCCGTAGTGCGGTTTGTGTGGATAGGGTTCGTAGCTGTACGAGCGGTTGCAGGCGGTTTGCGGATTAGATTTTTTTTTTAATTTCTAGATTCAATATAATATAAGATTGATTTCAATTTCAAAAGTAATTAACAGATTCAATTTCCCCTCCATGAAGAAGTATCAATTTTCTACAATGTTCACAGAGCAAATAAAAACAAACAAAAGCAAAAACATTCAAAAACAATGTTCTCAAATAATGTTCGCTACAATATTTCTTTTTGTATCATGAAATTAGGATTTGGTGTGTAGGATGAATGAAATCAACGGTCTAGCTTTTTTATAAAAAATAAAAATAAAAATTTAAGTATGGGCGGGCTATTGCGGATGCGGGTTAAACCCACAACCTGCTTGCAATTCGCAATTATGCCATATTCTAAATTGCATCTACCCACATTGTGTCTGTGAAATCGCTCATTTGTATGCGGATCGGTTCGAGTTGGGTGGGTTGTGCGGTTCGGATAACCCTATACCCAGTCCTATGTTTTAGGATATATTTTATGATATACAAATTCAAAATTTGTATTGAAAGCTTATATACATAATAAATTGGATTTTGAGCAATATATCACCAATTATTTATCACCCTTTTTAATCACTTCCTACACGGATTATTTATGATTAGTTCCCTTATTTAATGATAATTATTAAAGAATTAATGTAAACAAATGATATCTTATTACATAGACCAATGATATAAAATGATAAAATAAACAAGTGATATATAACAGTTCTCTTACACAAATGATAGCCACCTCCTTTTAGTGTAAATTTTTTTAAAATTTTGGTGAATTACCATTTTCGTTTTGGAGTTGTTCACAAGCCAGCTGTGAATGAACCTAATTACATGAGTAAATTGTGTTATTTGGCCCCAACATTGATGGTAGTGGTGAGTTTAGAAAGCTTTAAGTTTCTCATAAGCACATGTTCTACGCTAAAACAAATTATCAATAATTTTATCCGTAATTAATTTAAACATGTGAAGAAGATTTAATTACAACAGCAATTCTATGTATCATGAAAAATCTTTCATGAAAATAATCATGAAAGTTTTGTGATCCTTGAATTACACTTTAGAATAAAACATCACACACTAATCAAGGTAATCTAAAAATTATAAATTTTTCATGATCATTTTTATGAAAAATTTTTCATGATCCCTAACTTTTCTCTAATCACAATTGACTAATTTTAATCTAGTACACTACAAGAAATAACACTTTTGGCAACAAAAAAATTGGTCGCTAAAAGTCTATTTTTGGTCGGCAAAAGTTATCCGCGACCAAATTTTTTGGTCGCTACTTTGGTCGCCAATTGAGGGTCGGCAAAAGTAATTCGCGACCAAAATTTTGGTTGGTCGGCAAAAGTCAGATTTGCCGACTAAATTTTTGGTCGCGAAATATATCATTACCGCGACTAATTCATTTAGTCGTTAAAACACTTTGGTCGCGAAAAGTGATATTTTCCCGACCAAAAAGTTTGGATGCCAATTATCACATTCAACGACCAAAAAGTTTGGTCGCCAATTGTGACATTCCGCGACCAAAAATTTTGGTTGCCAATCGTGACATTCCGCGACCAAAAATTTGGTCGCCAATTGTGACATTCCACGACCAAAAAAGGTTTTGGTCGCCATTTGTTACTTTTCGCGACCAAAACTTTTGGTCGGCAAAAGTGAGTTTCCACGACCAAGAGCTATTTTGGTCGGCAATAGTTGTATTTTTTGCGACCAAAACTCTTGGTCGGCAATTGTCATTTTTTGCGAAAAAAAATTATTTATTTGTCGCAACTAATAAATTGGTCGCCAAAGCAGGAAAACAATACACTTGTAATTCCTAATAATTTATTCAATCCATAATAAACCTATAATTTTAAAGCATCACTCAAATTAACTGAATCATTAACATTCGACACAATACATAATTCATTAACATTCGATTTATTAAATTTCTGTCAAACAACCAGACATTGTTCCAGTTCAAACTGAAACAACCAGACATCCCCAGCTGGTGTTCCACCAGACATTGTTCACACAAAATAATGACAACCAAAGAATCCAACAACACCTTTCTAAACTGTCAAACAACCTACTTCCAAAATTTCTTAAATTTCCCAAAACACTAGTGTACATTATATACATCCTATTTATAGAACTACATTCCAATTCAAACTGAAACACCCTAGTTTTAGCAGGAACAAAAAGAAACAATTCTACGAGTAAATAATATGTGGAAGCTTTGACTAAAACAAGAACTTTGTGTCAGAAACTTCGAGGACATTGTGGACGCCAATAGGGTTCACACCTGGCTGGAAAGCATTTCCTTCAATATACCTGTGACAACATTTAATCAATTAGCATTTCACCTAGTGTTGGGTAATTGCAATTTGCTTGTACTGATTGAAGACAGAAACTCACATTTCTTTCAAGAAAGTGTGCTTATAGAATGCATTCGGGATTCTCCCAGTAAATTGATTATGATCCAGGTACCTGCAATGAAAGCAAGCTTAAGATGCTGTCCCATGCCTACCCAAAAAAAAATGTTGTCCCAGATACACAAAAGCACAAAGATGCAAAAAAAGGGGAAAAACAAATTAAAGAAGGGAAAAAAAGGCATTAATTGTGATAAAAACAACAGTTAAAAGCCATGAAACAAAGCCATAAGGGATGAGGAAATCTTCTCAATATTGAAGATTGGGTCACAGATGTCAAGGAACGAAACAAAGTGTATCGATGAAATAGGAATCCTAACTCAACCTTGGTTCCACTAACAAACTTGTCCTGCAAATCCAAATAACTTTTCAATATGCAATTGTAATATTGACCACTAGCAAAATTGCCCGTGCCTAAAGGTACTTCATCAGTAGGGAAATAACACCAGCCATTAGATTTATTCAATCTTAACCCAAACTATAGCACACAACATTTTTCAAAAACTGATGTGTTTTATTATATAGATTTTTCTTGTCCTTCTTGTCATGAAGACATGATATGTGACTATTTCAAACCATACAATCACATCAGCCAAATTGTGAATAAACTTACAAGGAAGTCAATCGGGGAATATGAGCAAGTCCAGATGGTATGATACCCAGACATTTTGTTGTATGATAAATGCCTGTTACAAACATAGCATTCAATTTTTTAAGATGGTTTCAATTACAACAAAAAGAAATCCAGAAAGAAGATAGATAACAGTCTTAATACAGTTAAAAAGAAAATGAAATGCTTACAAGATTTCCAAATTAGTCAAGTTTGCTAGCTGAGCTGGGATTCCACCCGTAAGGTAGTTATTATTCAGATAACTGCATATCAGAATTACAAAGGATCAAAAATGGTTTTTATAAGAACTACGCCTCTGATAGCCTTAAACTGGAAAATATTATGTATTTCAAAATTCGCTGAAGCATAGACTTACAGGTTGCGAAGAGATGGAAAGCATCCCTCAATACGTATTAGTTGCCTAATAGTTCCCACCAAATGATTGTTACCAACATCACTATGAAAACATGGTTATCACAGAGAGATTATCTGCAATGAGATACAAATAGTAAAGCATACAAATACTGTAGGGAATAGAACATGAAATTTACAAATGTCGGAGTTGTTGTAGAGTGCCCAATTCTGGTGGAATTCGCCCAATAAAATGATTTTCATGTAGATAGAGGTAACGTAGCAGAGGAAGATTAGCTAATTCTTTGGGGATTTCTCCTTTGAAATTATTGAAACTCAAGTATCTGCAAAAGATTCATTATAACACATTAATAGTATATAGAATAAATAATATGAGAAAATTCCAACAAAACTAATACCCTCAAAGATGATGAAATTACTCACAGATGGGTTAGACTCTTTAGTTCACCTATTTCAGGAGGAATGACATCTTGCAACTTATTCCACCTCAAATTGCTGGAAAGAAATAAGAAACAAAAATACTGTAAGTAAACAGAAAATTAGAAAACAAAAAAGATCAGAGCAAGTGGGCTAGAGTTCTCAAAATTGAAGAAAATGTTTTCCACATGAAGTGGTTGGAAAAAAAAATTTCAATATAGACAACTTGTTAGTGTATTTGAATACAGACAACTTGTTAGTTAATAATAGGGTTTAAATTATACATCAGCAATTTCAATCCTCAAAGAATGTATTTGACTGGAGCAACTCGTTTGATCATTTGACATCATACACTCCATTCACACAGACACTGTTTTATAAAATAGGAAATATTTAAATTGCTCAGCCATTTACTTCATTCCACCCTAATGTGACATGCTCTCCTCCAGATAGTCCAGACCCTGAGAAATCAAGGGTGAAAACAGTAATGTTTGAAGGCAACAATATTATAGCCGCTTCACTGGCATCTGCCCTGCATCCACTGGTAAAATCAATACAGACAACTTGTTAGTAAAACAGATTTACAGAATGAATTTGTTAAAGCTAATTCAATTATCTACCAGCTTAATACTCATCCATACTATGACAGAAAACAAGTAAAGGACCTCTATTTTTAGAAAAATTATTAGACAGACCTTTGATATTCCATATACTATCCTTAATTTTTCTATAAGAACAATCTCTACTCATCTACATTTATTTTCTAACCTGTTTCCATGGCAATAGAATACACAAGGCAAAGCCTTTCCTTCTGGACGAACAATAGGCATGTAATGACTACATTGGAGAACATCTCCTCGACTGTTTGTAACCTGCAGAATGATAAAAGGCCAAAAGCTAGTGAGGAATTTGAAGAATTTGAAGATGAGGAATTTGAAGATGAGGAACATGGTGCTTGGGAGAGAATAAAAAAATTGCAGCAAAATACCTTTGGATTTGTAGGATTGTCAAATTGTTGAAGCATGTAGGCATTTGGCGTGCTATTCAAAATTTCTTCAGCTTTCTGAACTGCTCCGTTCATCCCCTTAGCAGAATCAGTCAAAACAAGCTCAGCTCCAAAAGCTTTAAAAAGAACCCTTCTTTCTAGACTCATTGAGGCTGGCACTGTCAATATGAGCTTATATCCTTTTGAAGTAGCTATAAATGCAAGTCCAATGCCAGTGTTTCCACTAGTTGGCTCCACCAGAATGCTTTAGATAGAGGGGGGGCGGAGGAGATGGGGAAAAAGAAGAAAATTGTTGTATCAGAATGGTAAACAGGATATATTTTAATTAATTTATTTATTTTTTTGATAGACAGGATAAATGTTAATCTAAATTAAAGTGATTATCAACATATTGAGGACATAATGTGCCATACATATTTACAGGAAGCATTTTGAGCTAAGATGAAAAATAACACCATGATGTGTTAAATGCATTCATGCTGTGTTCTACTTCAGATCATTTGTTTACAACAAAAGATATATTATTATTAGGGTTAAAGGTACATTACAGTTGTTGATTTAAGTGTTTATGTGCTGATGGTGCATAAAAAAATTAGTTTCATGGACTCCAATTTTTGTTAAGGCGGCCTATCTATGGAAGGGTTGCCTTAATATACAAGGGCTGCTATTGTCCAAATACAGCAAAAACAAAAGGCAAAGCACATCAAGGTTGCACACATCCTTTATACAATACGAGGTAAGGGTTGTATTCATGGTTATGTTACCTTCCCTGGTGTTATAAGACTCCTCTGCTCAGCATCAGTTATCATACTGTGCCCAATCCTGAAACCAAAAAAGAATTGAATACTACAGCAGGGGAAACAGATCAGCAGAACAAAATAGTGGAAGATTGGACTGCCACAATAGTGGAAGAGTTTGGCAAGAAATATAAATAACACCAGTGGAATAGTTAATCAAGTGGACTAGCTTAGTAGAACACTAGCTTAGTGGACTGCCATAATATAAATAACACCAATATAAATAACACTAGCTTAGTGGACTGCCACAATAGTGGAAGAGTTTGGCAAGAGATTGGACTGCCGCAATAGTGGAACAGTTAATCAAGTGGCCTAGCTTAGTTGACAATTTTTACATACTTCTAATTACAAGGTTAGGGAGTCAATTTATGCCAAAGACAAAGATTGATTATTTTTGCTCTATTATTTATAAATTATGATTGTTCAATTTAATATAATTATCTTCATAAATATAAATAATCACCTGCCAATTGAAAAAAAAAACAAAAAAATCACCATCAAAGTTGCTACCCTATATGGAAAAATGCACACACTAGTGTAAAAGGAGAGATTGTGAAATGATCAACTTTTCATGATAGAAAATTTTGTAAAATAATCAACTGCTACATGACAACTGAATGAATAAATAGTGTTGAAAAGAATTCAGATCTTTGATATCCATAAGACACTAAGTAAAAATTTGGAATTTTAGAACTTGCTAACATCCTTACAGATAAACACTATATATTTGAACTAAAAACAAAATAAACAAACTAGATGATCCAAAAGATAAAGGAGCTACTCTACAATATTTGATTTATTGCTCAATAAATTTATTCCACAAGTCCATCCTTGCACACATGTATTCGACACAACTTCACATTAAAAGTACATAAATCTTTTCGTTAAAACAAAACTCCTAATAAAAACAATTATAAAAAGAAGAGACCAATACCTAGCCACAAGCATCCATCCTGGGGCATTGAACCACCACCACTTCTCTCCCATTGTCTTTCTGTTTCTCAAAATAAATAAAAGAGTTACCAAAAATAACTGTGACAATAATTACAACCAAATATTAGGGCTAAGGCATAGATAATTACAACTATGGACATCAAGGCCAAGTCAATAAAGGCCACCCCCAAAGCCCAAGTAACTTAGACATTGGACTTGAAAGACAATAAATTTAAGATATAATCATACAAGGCTTAGAACCAAGGGTAAGTCTAAGGAAACCAAGGCCACCCCTAGGCCAAGGCAATCCAAGGCCATCACTAGGTCGAGGCAAGCTACGGCCACCCCAAGGTGAAGGCAACCAAGGCCAAAGCCAAAGGAAAGACAATGAGAAAAGGGTATCAATAGCTATTATTATGTTTTGAATGATATTTTATGATATCCACACACAAAGGGTCAGAATCTGTCTAAGTTTAGTAAAAAGGGAATTTCTCCCTTGATGTTATGTCAGAAATGGCACACCTTATTTCAAAATAAAGGTAACACATGAGATGATTTTGCTCAACTATTTTAAAGTTGATCTTGCTTCTAATGTCCATTATCAAACCAAAAACTATCTTAAATATTTTGTTGAGTAAAGATATTTTCAAGAAAATTTTAATAAATGTTTTCTAGAATGGTGCATCAAAATTGGCTATCATGTCATTTGTTTTCCACTGTTTCACACAACAAAAATAATTCCAAATTGTGTTACTTTATTTTTTATGCAATCCCAACCACCAAATAGATTTCATTGTCATCTTTCTTTCCTTAATTATGTATAACTTCAATTTAAACACACTATTAATCAAAGAAACATAAATTTTGATAGAGGGGTGGAGAGTGAATTTGCAAAAATTTGACACAGAAGATATATACTTTTGTTTAAAAAGAAACATGCATGAAAAATATTCATGTAGTTCAATCATATTCTCTCTTTTTTGCTGTAATAATGGTTACCTCATCCTCACATAAACACATGTGAAAGTTAAAGGGAACCTTGGAAGCTTGAGGAGCTGTTAAACAGATGGAGAAACCATAATTATTCATAAGAGTTCAAATCCAATGAAGGAAACACAAGGTAAAACCACCTAAAATTTCATTAAAAAAGCAAATTGAATTATCTTCTATATACTTCTCTTCCTAACATGTTTTGAGGTTGGTTGGAATCCTCCTCTTTCTAGTTCTTTGCTAACTTGTTCTTTTCAAGGCCCAATACATACACATATACAACTATAATTATAGAATTGGTTCAATTAGCAATTTAGATAAACTAAATACAAACAAATAATCTTCTTTATATGGACCAGTCAGCTGGAGATGAGCTTGAACATAACTGGACAAACTTCAGAGTTCCAAAATAGGACCTAGAATAGGAATATCAATGTAAAATGTAAAGTTAACACACATTCATAGTGCAACGAACAATCACTAGCATGTCAACTTTTACTACTTTTATCTGGCTTATGTGCTCTTCCTCGTGGAGAGCAGGCTAGTCAAGCAAGGACATCAGATGTTGAATACATCCTTCTAAACAGCAAAGCAAATATAAAACACCAGCATATGAGCATTATAAAGGGGAAATTTCAAGGTGCAACAAATCCTTAGTCTAAACAGGTTCACTGTAGTTGCTCGTGATGATGACATCAATCTCTATGAGATACTCAATTACATATGCCTTTATATTAAATTGACAATCAAACACGAAACAAAGTGAGACCAACAATGTCAAAATTTTACACATAGAAAAAATGACACTGAACAATCGAGCGCTATTGCTGCAATACAAAGCATATATATATATATATATATACATAAACCCTAAAACCATCGTAAAACCCCAAATCAATGACACTGAACAACACAGTCATACAAAATCAACCTAACATGTTTTGAGGTTGGTTGGAATCCTCTTCTTTCTAGTTCTTTGCTAACTTGTTCTTTTCAAGGCCCAATACATACACATATACAACTATAATTATAGAACTGGTTCAATTAGCAATTTAGATAAACTAAATACAAACAAATAATCTTCTTTATATGGACCAGTCAGCTGGAGTTGAGCTTAAACACAACTGGACAAACTTCAGAGTTCCAAAACAGGACCTAGAATAGGAATATCAATGTAAAATGTAAAGTTAACACACATTCATAGTGCAACGAACAATCACTAGCATGTCAACTTTTACTACTTTTATCTGGCTTATGTGCTCTTTCCCGTGGAGAGCAGGCTAGTCAAGCAAGGACATCAGATGTTGAATACATCCTTCTAAACAACAAAGCAAATATAAAACACCAGCATATGAGCATTATAAAGGGGAAATTTCAAGGTGCAACAAATCCCTAGTCTAAACAGGTTCACTGTAGTTGCTCGTGATGATGACATCAATCTCTATGAGATACTCAATTACATATGCCTTTATATTAAATTGACAATCAAACACGAAACAAAGTGAGACCAATAATGTCAAAATTTTACACATAGAAAAAATGACACTGAACAATCGAGCACTATTGCTGCAATACAAAGCATATATATATATATACATAAACCCTAAAACCATCGTAAAACCCCAAATCAATGACACTGAACAACACAGTCATACAAAATCAACTCACATGTCGTCGATGCAGATGTGGCCTAGAAGATGAATCGAGTAGGGCCATTCGTCCTGGAATGTAATCCCCTGCGTTGAAACCTAGAGCGAGAGAGAGAGAGAGTAAATTAGGGTTTGATAAGAAGAGAGATCAATAATAGAATAGAAGGATGGGTAGTGTATGTGCCTGGAGGATGAGGTCATCGCAGATATCAGTGATCTTGTCGTAGGATTTGGAAGCCATAGCGTCGCTGTGGATCGCTCACCACGGTTAGATCTTGACCTAGGATTCAAATCTGATTTAGATTTTGACGATCTTCTCGGATCCGGCAGAGGCACCGGTAGAGGAGGAGGAGAAGGAGGAGGATCATCGACGGCGGTGGGTGTTTAGGAGAGAGAGAGAGAGAGGCACTAGCGGAGGACGGAGGAGGATCATCGACGGCAGTGGGGATCTGCGGTGGTGGCCGTGGCGATCTGTGCCGGTGGTGGTGGTCTGCGGTAAGGTGAGGCTTGGTGGTGAAGGAGAATCTGTGTGAGAGGTTTGAACAAATGGTTGTAAACAGAGAACAGGGGCGGTGATATATATCCCACCAAAAAAACATTTCACCTTTAGCGACCAAATTTTTTTCTTGTCACAGAATCTTAACATATAACGACCAAAATTTGGTCGGCCATTGTCTAGCAGTGCATTTAGATATCAAAACGACGTCGTTTTGATATCTTCGACTAAATTGTGTTAGTCGCTAAAAGATTATACTGTTCTCGCCCAGTTTTTCACCTTTTGACATCATTTTTAGCGACTAATATTTTAAATTGGTCGCAAAAAATCACCTTTTTGCAACAAAATTACTTTAGTCGGTAATAGTCTCAAGTTTTAGCTACGAAATCTTTTTTGGTCGGCAAAATTTATTTTTTTGCGACTAAAATTTTTTTGGTCGGCAAAAGTGGCCGGCAAATATGTAAATTCTTGTAGTAGAATAGTATCATTTTCAGGATAAAATTTTAATGATTAATGCGAGTCACTGTTCTCATAAGAATTAACGGCCCATTTATTCTCGACAAGTCCCAAGCCAAAAACAGATTGGTTAACGTTTGGACCCATTCAACTACACCGGCTTGATCGTAAGAGTTTCGGCATCGAATCATTGTCTCTTTCAAATCAAAAACGCCATTTGTTCTTCGTTTGCATCGAGATTTAGTCTCCTTTAACCCCCCCTCTGCGTCATCTTCTTTCCCCCCCAAAAACATATAGTCCATCTATACACAGCTCACATTTCACCACCCACAAATTCTTTTCCCTCTCCTCTCTCTTTTTCCTTCTCTTGTTAAATTCACATCCATGGAGATCAAAGAAGACGACTCGACGCTTATCAAGCTCGAAACAGCGTGTTCAGACCTCAAAAACCTCCTCAAAACGTCAGCTGAAGTAGAGGTGAGTCTCGAGAAAATGGACAAGAAACTGGACATATTTCAAGAAAGTCTAACAACAGCCTCAAGAAGAGTAGCTCCCCTCCAGTCCCTGTCTATTGCCGCGAAAGCTCTTGACACCCGAATCAACCGTGCCGTCTCTCCAGCTCTCTCCCTCCTCGACAGCTTCAAGCTCACCGAGTCTCTCCAGCGCCGACTGCTCGATATCTCCTCCAAGTTGTCGAGCGAGAAATTGCAGAAGAAGAGGCTGAAGCGGCTGAAGAAGTATGTGGATTGCGTGAACAAGCTTGACGCGGCGATTAATTTGATTAGTCAGGAGTGCGAGCCGGCGATTCAGAAGCTTCAGGAAGTTGTGGAGTTTTTGAGCAGGACTAAGGCGACTGATCAGTACAGGACGCATAGATTGAAAGAGACTTTGATGACGCTTAAGGCTCTGTATGAAACCGAGGTTGATGCTATGAGGTTTGATGGGTTGCTTGATGAGGCTTTGCTTAGTTTGCAAGATGAGTTTGAGGGTTTATTGCAGCAACTGAGGCATCGGAATATAGGTGAGATGGCAGCAGTGGCGGCGCAAAGTGAGGTTGATACGGCGGAGGAGGAGGAGGAGGTGGTGGTGGCTTGGAATTTGGGTACTGAGTTGGAGGTTGAAGTTTTGAGGCAAATTTCAGAGACACTTGCTGCCAATGATTGCTTGGATATCTGTATCGAAATCTTTGTGAAGGTAAGCCTAACATTTCTGTGTCATTAAACTTTTTCTTACACTACTTGCTTACTCAATTTAAGTCAAGTTTGGCAATTGCAAAATAATTTATCTTTTTATTTTTTTTTCATCACATTACCTCTCTACTTTTTTATATATTTTTTTGTAAAAAGATAAAAAGTACACTTATTTAAGTTATTCCAAACAAACCCTTAGTATTGATCACTTGGTTAGTTGAAAGCATTGCTCGCTATTCCCTCTTTGATCTTTGTTTGTATATGATTCCCCTGATTGTGTACCTATATGATGTCCAATCCCAACCAAGCAGAGCAAGACTAGATTTTGCTGTAACTTTAACTGTATCAAAGAGAAGACAAATAGAGTGACTAATTTTAAAAAAAAATAATCTTGTAATTGATTGTTTTGTCAATCTTGTTATAATCCCTTTATTGACAATAGATTTCATTCCTCCAAATACCACACAATCATATGAACTGCAAACCATCAAACATGCACATATGGAAACTCGTTAATTTGTTTTTGTTAAATTTTTTTTGATACTCAACTCGACTTGACTCGTTTTTAGGTTCATAATTTTGTCCCCTACTTAATTGACGGAATGATTACCACTCAATCTCATTTAAATTTAGTTATGATAATATCATCATGAGTGATAATATCATCATGAGTGCTACTATTAGCACCTGTCAAAATTCTTTGCACCCCCCATTCTATAATTTTTTTTATTAAAATTATACCCTAAAGTAAAATTACATTAAAAGACATTATTAAATGGAACACCCATCTATCAATAAGAACTAATACTCTATAATATTGGACCCCCACCCCCACCTCCACCTCCACCTCCAACTATACGTATTCTATATTTGTAAACCCTAAACTTATTACTTTTCATAACTAACTAATATAAACCCTAAATCTATTATTTTTCATAATCATCTTAAATTCTGAATGTGTCATCTTCATCACCATCATCAACGCTATTGAACTTGAAAGTTTTGCTTCAAGTATAACGTATACTTCATCACTTACTTTACTGTGTAGAGTAATGGAGGATAAGGACAACAATTCTAGTGAGACCGACGTTCCATTAATAAGTTTATCTGTCTTGTATTAACATTCTCGGTCGTTCTTGTTTCGTTCAAGCTGTTTGGTACTGGTTTGCTAACTGTTAGAATTATGTTCGGTAATACAGTACTGAACATAATCCTTTCGTTCAATACATAGGTTCTGAACATTAATGCAGATAGTCAGTTATGTAATTTTCTTTGTTAAACTAACTTAGAATGGAAAAGAGTAAATTGGAATGGATTTAAGTTATATATTTTGAATAGATTTAATTCATGTTATTTTAAGTTGTGAATTGGAATGGATTCAAGTTACACAGTGATGAACAAATTTTGTTCAGACATATAGTGCTGACAGGATGTTTGTAAACCCTAAACCTATTACTTTTCATAACTAACTAATATAAACCCTAAATCTATTATTTTTCATAATCATCTTAAATTCTGAATGTGTCATCTTCATCACCATCATCAACGCTATTGAACTTGAAAGTTTTGCTTCAAGTATAACGTATATTTCATCACTTACTTTACTGTGTAGAGTAATGGAGGACAAGGACAAGAATTCTAGTGAGACCGGCGTTCCATTAATAAGTTTATCTGTCTTGTATTAACATTCTCGGTCGTTCTTGTTTCGTTCGAGCTGTTCGGTACTGGTTTGCTAACTGTTAGAATTATGTTCGGTAATACAGTACTGAACATAATCCTTTCGTTCAATACATAGGTTCTGAACATTAATGCAGATAGTCAGTTATGTAATTTTCTTTGTTAAACTAACTTAGAATGGAAAAGAGTAAATTGGAATGGATTTAAGTTATATATTTTGAATAGATTTAATTCATGTTATTTTAAGTTGTGAATTGGAATGGATTCAAGTTACACAGTGATGAACAAATTTTGTTCGGACATACAGTGCTGACAGGGTCATTATTGTTCAACAAAACAGTTCTTAACAAAATATATTTTTTCGGCTACACAGTGGTGAACAAATTGGGTGGGTGTGCATTTCATTGTGAAAATATTATGGAGATTAGTTTTCTATTCTAAAAATATTATGGAAATATTATGGAGATTAGTTTTCCATATATATACATTGTTTTCTATTCCTACAATTCGCATCAATTTTCACTTTCTCATCTGAATTTCCCAATCAATGGCAAATTCCAAAGAAACCCACGTCGTCGAAATCCCAATCGACGAAGAACAGCAATCCCACAAACTAATTTCCATAATTCAAAACCACCCATTAATGGAAATCTCTCAAAGCCCAGGTCACCTCTTTGATGTAGCAAGCAATCCGTGACCACCCACCTTAGTAGTTTCCGTCTTTTATTGCTTTAGTTGCCATTATTTTATTATGTTCACTTTTGGCAATTGCCTTATTATTTGCCTTATATTTTATTAGTTGCCTTATATTTTATTTCCAAAACTGGTTGTTGTTTTGTTGAGTTAGGCCTCTGTTTTTCTCATAAATAATGAGTGTAAAGCCTTAGGGCTCTAGAGTTTTTTGATCATTAATATATTTTGAGTTTTATACTCTTTGTTCCAACTTTGGTTAATTCTTTGTGAATCAACTTTTGTTAAGCCTTTAAACTCGGTATTCTTGGTGAATCAACGGGTCTAGAGAGGAGTCTTATTTTCGGTATTCTTGTTTGAATCAACGGATTTTAAGATTGTTACTATTGTTACGCCTCGCGCTACATCAGTTGGTATTAGAGCATAGGCTACGATGGCACCAAGGAGGCGGCCCATGGACGACCTTTATGAAGCTGACACCGCAACGATGCAACAACAAATTGATGCCTTGACTGAGCAATTCGCCGGCCCATGGACGACCTTTATGAAGCTGACACCGCAACGATGCAACAACAAATTGATGCCTTGACTGAGCAATTCGCGGCGTTGCAACAACAGCAGTAGCGCCAGCAATATCCAAACCCACGGTCTATGGAGGACGAAAAAAGTATGGAGGAGATTGATGACAACCCTTTTGCTAGAAATTTCTGAAAATTGAAATTCATGAATTTCACAGCAGTGTTCAACCCGAAGAATTCTTGGATTGGCTTTTTGCTGTTGAAGAGGTTCTTGATTTCAAGGAGGTTCCGGAGAACAAACGAGTTTCCTTGGTGGCCATACGCTTCAGGGGAAGAGCAGCGGCTTGGTGGCAACAAATAAAGTTAACTTGAACCAGACAGGGAAAGAGTAAAATTGCTTCTTGGGAGAAGATGAAGAAACATATGCATATGGCGTTCCTTCCTCATAACTATACACGCATGATGTACCAATAATTGCAAAATTTACGGCAAGGGACGAAGATGATCAATGAATATACCACTAAGTTCTATCAATTGGTGTCACGTAATGACCTTGCTGAAAACGAAGACCAACTTGTTTCCAGGTACATCGGGGGATTGCAAGAGCATTATCAAGATATCCTGAATTTATCTGATCCCTATTCAATTTCTAAAGCACACCAGAGGGCTATACAATTAGAGAAAAGGTCAAAGCGTTGCTCAGGTGGTACTGGGTGGTCAAGTGGAAACACTAGTGGCAACCGTAATCTACCCCCAATGAACCGAAATACGAGTATGAACCTTCCAGGGGCACGGTGGAGCACCACACAATCTGATACGGTTGGTAAACCTTCAGGAGGACAGTCAAACATGAACTCTGTTACTAGTAGTGGTATGCGTTGCTTTAAGTATGGAGAAGTTGGTCATCGCGCTGCAGATTGCAGAAAAAGTGACCGGGTTGGCAAAGGCCTATTTATAGATAGTGAAGAGATTACCGAAGATGGGACTAATGAAAGTCTGCAATATCCTACCAACAATCCCGAGGCTAGTATTTATGACAAGGAAGAACGAGTTGCCGGCGATGATAGTCCTCTATTGGTTGTGCGAAGGGCTTGCTTTACACCTCGAGAGGTTGAAGGGAATGGGTGGTTACGAAACAACATCTTCCAATCCACGTGTACCATTAGTGGGAAGGTGTGCAAGTTCATAATTGACTCTGAAAGTTGTGAGAATGTCATTGTGGAGGATGATGTAGCAAAATTGGGAATAAGTACAAGCCAACATCCCAACCCATACAAACTGTCATGGCTTCAGAAAGGCAAGGAGGTAACGGTTTCCAAGCGTTGTTTAGGCCCATTATCTATTGGTTCTAATTGCAGGGACAAGGTATGGTGTGATGTGGTTCAGATGGATGCTTGTCATATTTTATTAGGAAGGCCTTGGCAATTTAACCGTGACGTGTTACACGATGGACGAAGGAACACTTACTCCTTTGTATTTAACAAGATCCGCATTGTTCTTGAACCTCATAGAGAAGAAGCACCAAAGCTAGCCACTGAGAAGAGTTCTAGCTTATTGTCTATGCACCGGTTCTTGGAGGAGGTGGCTGAAACAGGAATGATGTTCGTACTAGTAGGAAAAGACAGTGCCATAGAGAGTAAGATCCCTGAGCCTATGAAGGCTCTAATTGCAGAGTTCCATGATGTATTTCCCAAGGAGTTACCCCTAATGTTACCGCCCATGCGAGACATACAACATCAAATTGTTTTGATTCCAGGATCAAATTTGCCAAATAGACCCCACTACTGCATGAGCCCAAAAGAGCATGAGGAACTTCGCCGACAAGTGGAGGAATTACTAGCCAAGGGACATATCCGAGAAAGCCTCAGTCCATGTGTCGTATCTGTATTATTAACCTCCAAAAAAGATGGCTCGTGCCGCATGTGCGTCGATAGTAGAGCAATTAATAAGATCATTATCCGATATAAGTTCCCCATACCTCGGTTGGATGACTTATTAGATCAGTTAAGTGGAGCAACCGTGTTTAGCAAATTGGATCTAAAAAGTGGTTACCACCAGATTCAGATTCGGGAAGGTGATGAATGAAAGACAGCCTTCAAAACTCGAGAGGGGCTTTACGAGTGGCTAGTCATGCCATTTGGTTTATCAAATGCTCCCAGTACTTTTATGCGTGTGATGAACCAACTATTTCGGCCTTTTATCGGGAAGTTTGTTGTTGTTTATTTTGATGATATTTTGGTTTATAGCGTTAATAATGAATTGCACCTCCGACACTTGCACCAGGTTCTATCAGTACTGCAAGAAGCAAAATTTTATGTTCGCACCAACAAGTGTTCCTTCTTAACCGATACTGTTGTGTTCCTCGATTATGTCGTATCTAAAGATGGCCTCTCTGTTGATGAAAGCAAGGCAAATGCAGTTCGTGACTGGCCAATACCAAAAAACATTCACGACGTACAAAGCTTTCATGGGTTGGCTTCGTTCTATCGGAGGTTCGTTCTCCATTTCAGTAGCATTATGGCACCAATTACGGACTGCATGAAAGCTGGCCAATTCTGTTAGACAGAGGCAGCGACAGAAACATTCCAACAAATTAAACAGAAATTGACTTCAGCACCAGTCCTCTTATTACCAGATTTTTTTAAACCCTTTGAGCTACACTGTGACGTACCTAAAATGGGCATTGTGGCTGTTTTGAGCCAAGGGGGTCGACCGATTGCCTACTTTAGTGAGAAGCTTAGCAGTTCCAAAAGCAACTACAGCACTTATGATATGGAATTTTACTCCATTGTCCAAGCCCTGAAGCATTGGTACTCTTTTCTGTCCCAAAGTGAATTCATTTTATTTTCTGACCATGATGCTTTGAAGCACATCAACAGCCAAGACAAGCTTTCATCAAGGCATGCCAATTAGGCAGCATATCTGCAGCAATTCACCTTTGTTATTAAATACAAATCCGAGACCTTAAACAAAGTGGCTGATGCACTTAGCTGCCGTTCATTGCTGCTTACTACTATGAGAAATACGGTCCTTGGGTTTGATTCCTTTCAAGAATTATTGTCTGTTGATCCCTATTTCTCTTGTATTGTGGCGGAAGTTAAATCAGGTCAGAGGTTGGACTTTCTTCTCCATGACGGATTCCTCTTCAAAGGCAACCAATTGTGTGTGCCTGCATCAAGTCTTCGATTGAGAATTATCAAGGAGTTGCATGAAGAAGGCCATGTTAGGCGTGACAAGACTCGGCAGCTTGTGGCTGGTTCTTACTTTTGGCCTTCTATGAGGAAAGAAATTTCAAAGCTTGTGGACGGGTGTCGCATCTGCCAAGTATCCAAAGGATCTGCAACAAACGCAGGCTTATACATGCCATTACCCGTGCCCAACCAGCCATGAACTGACGTTAGTATGGACTTTGTTTTGGGACTCCCGCGCACTCAGCGAGGTTGTGACTCCATCTACATAGTCGTGGACAGGTTCTCAAAAATGGTCTTCCAAGCTTGTGGACGGGTGTCGCATCTGCCAAGTATCCAAAGGATCCGCAACAAACGCGGCTTATACATGCCATTACCCGTGCCCAACCAGCCATGAACTGACGTTAGTATGGACTTTGTTTTGGGACTCCCGCGCACTCAGCGAGGTTATGACTCCATCTACGTAGTCGTGGACAGGTTCTCAAAAATGGTCCATTTCATTGCTTGCAAAAAGACAACGGATGCTGTAAATGTGGCCCAATTATATTTTCGAGAAATCTATCGTTTGCATGGGCTCCCTCAGTCCATTGTATCTAACAGAGACACCCGATTTGTTAGTCATTTTTGGAGATGTCTATGGCGCTTGGCTAACACAAAGCTTGATTTCAGTAGCGCCTATCACCCTCAAACGAATGGACAGACAGAAGTTGTCAATCGTTCTTTGGGCAACATGTTACGGTGTTTAGTAACGGATCATTTGAAATCATGGGATCACAAATTGCACCAAGCAGAGTTTGTTTACAATCGCTCTGTAAATCGAAGTTCGGGTTTTAGTCCTTTCTATGTCAATTATGGCTACCAACCTCGGACCCCGCTGGATTTAGTACCAGTGCCAGACTTAAAGGGCATAAATGGGAAGGCAGAAGAGTTGATTCACAACCTTCAGGAGGTGCACAAATTAACCCGGTCCAACTTACAACAATCAGTCGCCAAGTATAAGTTGACGGTCGACAAAAAACGTCAATTGGTTGAATTTGAAGTTGGCGATTTAGTGTGGGAAGTTCTTACAAAAGACAGGTTTTCAGCCGGTGAATATAACAAGTTGGCAGCACGAAAAATTGGGCCCCTTGCAATTTTGGAGAAAATCAATTCAAATGCCTACCGTTTGCAGTTGCCTAGTCATATTCGTACTTCCGATGTGTTCAACGTTCGATACCTCATTCCTTATCACGGTGACAACACCACCAATGAGGCTGCGAATTCGATGGCGAATTCTCTCCATCCAGGGAAGGAATGATGCAGCCAGCACATCGCCAACCCAGCAAGCAGCAAGCAATTCGTGACCAGCACAACAAGCAATGGCTTTAGTTGCCATTATTTTATTATTATGTTCACTTTTGGCAATTGCCTTATTATTTGTCTTATGTTAGCTTTTCCTTGTTGCCTTAGTTTATTATATTGCTTTTCCTTGTTGCCTTAGTTTATTATATTGCTTTTCCTTGTTGCCTTAGTTTATTATATTGCTTTTCCTTGTTGCCTTAGTTTATTATATTGCTTTTCCTTGTTGCCTTAGTTTATTATATTGCTTTTCCTTGTTGCCTTAGTTTATTATATTGCTTTTCCTTGTTGCCTTAGTTTATTATATTTTATTCCTTGCCTTAGTCTATTTCCAAACCTGTGTGTTACTTCGTGGAGTTAGCTTTGTGGAGTTAGCCTCTGTTTTTCTTATAAATAGTGGGTGTAAAGCCTTAGGGCTCTAGAGTTTTTGATCATTAATATATTTTGAGTTTTTATACTCTTTGTTCCAACTTTGGTTAATTCTTTGTGAATCAACTTTTGTTGAGCCTTTAAACTCGGTATTCTTGGAGAATCAACGGGTCTAGAGAAGAGTCTTATTTCCGGAATTCTTTCTTGAATCAACGGATTTTAAGATTGTGCTTGAGCGAAAGCGATGTTGCAAAGATTGGTTGGTGGTGGCAGGTGGTGGGTGGTGATGGCGGAAGACGGTGGTGGAAAATGGTGGCGGGTGGTGGCTAGTGTTGGGCGGTAAAAAAAAAAAAAACTAAAAACTCAAAATGGAGACACATTTTTTATGTTTTCATTTTTTGGCCAAATTTATAAATTGAGACCACTGATTTATAAATAAAAAATTTTACCAAACAAGTTTTTATTTGAATTTTTAAAATTTTTGTAATTATAAACAGAAAACTAAAAACGTAAGTGTTACCAAACGGCACCCTACCGTTTGCAGTTGCCTAGTCATATTCGTACTTCCGATGTGTTCAACGTTCGATACCTCATTCCTTGTCACGATGACAACACCGTTGACGAGGCTGCGAATTCGATGGCGAATTCTCTCCATCCAGGGGAGGATGATGTAGCAAGCAATCCGTGACCACCCACCTTAGTATTCTTGGTGAATCAACTCGGTATTCTTGGTGAATCAACGGGTCTATTGAGGAGTCTTATATCCGGTATTCTTGTTTGAATCAACGGATTTTAAGATTGTTACTATTGTTACAACTCGTGTTGCATCACTTTTACCCCTCAAGCTCTTGCAAAGAGAAGAACACCTCTGTGCTCGCCGAATCACAATTAAAGAAACAAGAAAAGACATAATTGGAAGAGAAATATTCCAACTTTGTTTTTTCTTCTTCATTTTCCACTCCTTATTCTCAATCATTCTCTTCACTTCAACCACCAAAAACCAAAATGATAACAAATCTTTTTGTGAAAATTGGTGGGTTCCATCGATTTTGTCGGTTTCGGTTTCAATTGTTGTGATCTTCTTGGTTCAGATTAAGCTCTGGAGGTACTAGAAAGTGGAGAGAGAGAGGGGAGAGATGGCAGAGCAGTGACGAGGTGGATTCAGGAGATGAGGATGAAAGGCGCGAGTTTTGATTTGTCGAAGGAGAGTCAGGGAAGGAGAGGGATGAAAAATTAGGTGGGTGTGCATTTCATTATGAAAATATTATGAATATGGGTAAATTTGGTAATACGTGGGGTGTTCAAAAAAATATTATTAAAATTTAAGATTTAGAATTGGGGTCCAAAGAAATTAGGGTCCAAAAAATTTTGATAGGTGCTAATAGCAGCACCCTATCATCATTCCACTTAATATCTACTCCTCAATGAGTGCTAATGCAAATTCTTAAATGATGAGATACAATAGCCAGACATGGGTAGTGGAGGGTAATTACAAGCAGTCCATCATTTGACCAAAAAAAAACTTTTTTTTTTTTTGGATTTCAGCCAGTGGGGGTGCGACACCTCACTGGGGGTGCGACCCCCACTGGGGGTATGCATCACTGTTGAATTACAAATTAACCAAACTGCAATAACTAAAAAATGTAGCTTCAAATTATCTGTTATTTACTGTTACATTGCTTGCCTTCCAAATCAACCGGCTCGTATAGTAATCAAGAAATATTAATAATTATAGAATCAGGACCTATCAAATGTATGTGGTTCTAGAGAATTGTGTTGGATTATATGATGGAATTTTGTAACCCATTGTGTTCGATCCTCAACAGGTGAGATACAGAAGGGCAGCAAAAGCATTGATGAAGTTAAACCCAGACTACCTCCGAACATACACTCCAGAAGAAATCAACGAGATGGAATGGGAGACCTTAGAAACCGCCATAACTCTGTGGATCCAACACTTCGAACTCGCAGTCAAAAAAGTCCTCGTATCGGAAAAAAACCTCTGCAACCAAGTCCTGGGTCAAATCATGGACGGCCTAATCATATGGCAAGAATGCTTCGTCAAGATCGCAGACAAAATCATGGCCGTCTTCTTCAGATTCGGCGAAGGCGTCGCCAGAAGCAGCAAAGAGCCCCAAAAGCTATTCAAATTGCTAGACATGTTTGATTCTCTTGAAAATCTGAAAACTCAATTCTCCGTAGTCTTCGAAGGCGAGGCTGGAGCCGATATTTGTCTCCGGTTTCGAGAACTCGAGAAGCTTCTGGTCCATGCGGCCAGCAAGGTGTTTTGGGAGTTTGGGTTGCAGATTGAAGGGAATCAGGATGGGCTTCCGCCACCGCCGGATGGGTCGATTCCGAAACTGGTTCGGTACGCTACGAACTATTTGAAGTATCTTGCGACGGAGACTTATAGCGTGCCCATGGCGAAAGTTCTTCGGACTGAACATATATGGAAAGCTGGTGTGCTGTCGAAGCCGGAGACTCATGAGAATTTGCTTAAGAACGCCATTGCTAATGTTATGGAAGCGCTTAAGAGGAATGTGGAGGCCAAACGATCACGGTATGGTTTTTGGAATTTTTATAAAAATGAAACAATTTTATTTACTTAGGTCTCGTTTCGCGACAACTCCATTTAGGCCCCGTTTGGGGATTTATTTTTTTAGTCAATTAGTCAAAAAGTTATTAAATTAGTCAAAAAACTAACAACTCATAATAAAAAGTTAAAGATTCTCTTTTCTCTCTACTTTTTGCACATCTTTTCGTAATTAGCCAAAAAGTCATCCCAAACATACAAGTTTTTTTTATTACCTTTTTAGCCAAATAGTCAAAAAGTTACTAAATTAGCCTGTTCCCAAACGAGGCCTTAGTTTAAAAGTAAAAAAATCACTAAAAAAATTAAAAAGTTAAAATGTTATGCAATAATGATTTTAAAAAATTAAATTAAAAAGTTAATAATCTATATTAAAAAGTTAATTTTTTTTTTATTTTTTATTTTTGTATATCTTTTCGTAAAAAATTAAAAAAATCATCTTAAACATACTAATTTTTTTTTACCTTATATTTTACATATAAAATAAAAAATTACTAAAACAGTTTATTCCCAAACGAATCTTATGATTTATCATAAACTAAAGTGAAAGTGAATTTATCATATAGAGTTAAAGTGAATTTTGTCTATCAAAAATGTTAGGTTTTATTCTTGACAACCCCGTTTGACAAAACTCCTTTCAGTTGTATTTTTTTTCGCACTTTTATTTCAATGAAGCTATGAGTGTTTAGATGCGAATCCAACCCGAATTGTGCCTTTCAGAGAAGTTTGTGAAGCTAATGCTTTCAAGATTGCCACTTCGCTGATTATGACGAGGATCGAGCTGCCCGGTCAGCTCACGAGGGTCCAGGGGGCAGCGCCCTTTGGCGGGGCCGGGGCAGTGCCACGGCGGGGTCGAGGGGCAGCGCTCCCAAACCAAAATGCAAAAATGCATTCCAAGTTGCATGTCCGCTCGAGCGGACATTCCCCCGCTTGAGCGGAGAATGCTGAGTTGCAGAAGTTTATTCGTCTGCAAAAATACTGGATGTTATTTTTTCCCGCTCGAGCAGAACTTTCCGCACTCGAGCGTAGGTCCGCTCGAGCGGCCAATCCGACGCTCGAGCGGAGATCGCGGGACAGTTTTCTATAAATACGTATTTCAGTCCAAATCTAGGATTACTTTTTCCAAATCTTCTTCTTGGGTTCTAGGGTTTATATCTGGGGATATTTTGCTAGTTTTCTTTGATATTTTGATTGAGTATTCAACTCATGATCTAAAGAGAGCACATCAAAGGCTTGTTTGTTATACACAAAAGAGAGAGTTATTCTTCAGTTGTGGATTCTGAAGAATTCGAGCCTGAAGCTTTGGTGGAATCCGGAGTGGCTCATCAGAAAGACAATTCCGTGGTGAAGATGAGGTTGGAAGAGACACATAAGGGTTGGTTCAATTCGGGCGTGGATTCGCTAGGTAATTGAGAGTATACCTGTGTAATTCCTTTAATTCTTCTTAGTGGATTGTTCACGGCGGTCGGGCGACGATCGGACGGCTGGCGAGCTCGATGACCTGCGACGGCGAGTCTTCGGCGAATTCGGCTGGCGAGCTGACGACCTCCCCTCCCCTTCCTCTCTCTCTTCCTCTCTCCTCCCTCCCCTCCCCTCTGGTTTCTGCGAAGAAGAGAGAGAAAGCAAGAACGAAGAAGAAGAAAAGAAAAAAAAAAAAAAAACAAAAAACCCCAAAAACGACGTCGTTTTGGGGGGCTGCCGGGTAGGGCGGCCGAGGATCCGGATTCTTTTGTATTACGCGTAGTCAAACAGGTATTTCTTTTCATGAGATAGTGTAATCATTGTTTTAAAACCATTATTGCATCTCACATGAGGTTTTAATAGAATATCTAAGTCTATAATACAAACCCGACTACTCATCACTATGCTTGGTTTTACTTTTAAAAAATATTTTTTTGAAAATTTTATTTCTTATTTTTCTATTTTTTTATTTTTTATTGATTTTTTAAATATTTTAAATAATTTTTAAAATTTTTAGACATACCTAACTTAGATGTATCTAAAAAGTAAAAATTTATGAAAAAAACTTTTTAAAAATTCACTAAATACCCAAAATAAAAAAAAAGAGAATTCATACATTTTTTTTATTTTTTTATGTATTTATTAATTTTTTAAAATATTTTTTCACAAATTTTTTTACTTTTAAATACATTTAAGTAAGGTGCATCTAAAAATAAAAAAAATGTTTAAATTTAAATATTCTACTAAAAAACACAAACTAAAAAAATTTAATTTTCAAAAAACTTAATTCAAAAACTCAACCAAAACACACTGTCATAGCTTTTTTTGTTCACATTTCACAGTAATGAGCCAAAGTTTACCCATAAAATATAAAATGATGAAGACAATGGTTATATATAAATAAGATAATTTTATAACCAATCTAATTAAAATTCTCAAATTAATATAACAAAATTATAATTTAAAATAAAATAATATTAATAACTTATCAACATTTTATAAACCCAACTAATAAAAACGAGCAATACTACATTCTTAAAAACTTTACTTTAATATTTACTCAGAAACATTATTTATATCACGATATCAACCGCCACTTATAATAATTAACTCTAAAAAAATTTATTATTTTATTTTTTTGTTGGGAAAGTCAATAATACCATTATTAATTTTGCTAAACAATTAACGCTTCGGTTTGGAACAAGTTTATTTAGTTATTTTTTGATTTTTTAATTAAAAATATGAGATTAAAAAAAAATTAGTAATGTTTAAGATGATTTTTAATTTTTACGAAAAGATATACAAAAAATAAAAATTAAAAAAAATTAACTTTTTTAATATTAGATTATTAACTTTTTAATTTAATTTTTTAAATCATTATTGATAACATTTTAACATTTTAATTTTGTAGTGATTTTTTTACTTTTAAACTAAGCGCCTGCGTGTTCGGGAAACACGGCTTAATTAGTAACTTTTGACATTTGGCTAAAAAGGTAATAAAAAAAACTTGTATTGTTTGGGATGACTTTTTTGGCTAATTACGAAAAAGATGCGGCAAAAAGGTAGAGAGATCAAAGGAGAAAATCTTTAACTTTTTATTATGAGTTGTTAGTTTTTTGACTAATTTTAATAACTTTTTGAACTAATTGACTAAAAAAATAAATCCCAAACGGGGCCTAAAGGAGTTGTCGCGAAACGAGACCCTAAGTAAATAAAATGTTTCATTTTTATAAAAATTTCCAAAAAACCATACCGTGATTCGTTGGCCATCCACATTCTCTTAAAGCGCTTCTCATAACATTTAGAATGCGTTCTTAAGCAAATTCTCATGAAGTCTCCGGCTTCGACAGCACACCAGCTTTCCATATATGTTCAGTGCCGAAGAACTTTCGCCATGGGCAACGCTATAAGTCCCCGTCGCAAGATAGCTTCAAAATAGTTCGTGGCGTAACCGAAACCAGTTTCGGAATCGACCCATCGCGCGGTGCGGAAGCCATCCGATTCCCTTCAATCTGACAACCCAAACTCCCAAAAACACCTTGCTGGCCGCATGGCAGAGCTTTCTCGAGTTCTCGAGACGTCGGAGAACAAAATATCGGCTCCAGCCTCGCCTTCGAAGACTAGGAGAATTGAGTTTTCAGATTTTCAGAAAGAATCAAACATGTCTAGCAATTTGAATTAGCCTTTTGGGCTCTTTGCTGCTTCTGGCGACGCCTTCGCCCGAATCTGAAGAAGACGGCCATGATTTTTGTCCTGCGATCTTGACGAAGCATTTTGCCATATGATTAGGCCGTCCATGATTTGACCCAGGACTTGGTTCAGAGGTTTTTTCCGATACGAGGACTTTTTTGACTGCGAGTTCGAAGTGTTGGATCCACAGAGTTATGGCGGTTTTCTAAGGTCTGCCATTCATCTGCGTTGATTTCTTCTGGCAGTGGTATGTTCGGCAGGTTACAGTCTGTGTTTAACTTCATCAACTGCTTGTTTGCTGCCCTTCTGTATCTCACCGTATTGAAGATCAACACATATGTTATAAATAATCATCATATAATCCACACAATTTCTAGAAACCACATACATTTGATAGGTCCTGGATTCTAAATTATTAATATTTCTTGCATTACTATACGAGCCGGTTGATTATGGAAAGGCAAGCCAATGTAACAGATAAACTAACAGATAATTTAAGCTACATTTTTAGTTATTTCATTTGGTAATTTGTAATGACGCTCCACCTACGCATTGTCTGGCTATTGTATCTCATCATTGTAAGAATTTGCCATTAGCACTCATGAGGAGTAAGATACTTAAGTGGAATGCATGATAGGCGGTGCTCTAGTAGCACCTATCAAATTTTTTGGACCCTAATTTCTTTGCCCCAATTTAAATCTTAAATTTTTAATATTATTTTTTTGACAGCCCACGTATTACCAAATTTAACCCATATTCAAATATTTTCATAATGAAATGCACACCACCTATTTTTCATCCCTCTCCTTCCCTGACTCTCCTCGACAAATTCAAAACTCGCGCCTTTCATCTCATCTCCTTGAATCCACCTCGTCACTGGCTCTTGCGCATCTCTCCACCTCTCTCTCTCCAACTTCTAGTCTCCAGAGCTTATCATTGAAGACCAAGAAATCACAGACAATTGAAACCGAAACCGACAAAATCGATGGACACCCACCATTTTCACAAGAACGATTTGTTATCATTTTGGTTTTTGGTGCGTTGAAGTGAATGAGAAATGATTGAGAATAACGGAGTGGAAATGAAGAGAAAAAACAGAGTTGGAAATATTTCTCTTCCAACTTATGTTTTTCGGTTTCTTTAATTGGGTCGAAATTCTGGCGACGGCACGCAGTTAAACAAGGTGACTCATCGCTTTCTTCTCTTCGCAAGAGCTTGAGGGGTAAAATGAATGCAAACACGAGTTGTAACAATAGTACAATTGCTATAAATCCGTGATCAAACAAGAATACCGGAAATAAGACTCCTCTCTAGACCGCCGTTGATTCACAAGAATACCAGGTTGATTCACCAAGAATACTAAGGTCGGGTGGTCAATCGGATGCTTCTACATGCAATCCCTCCCCTGGATGGAGAGAATTCGCCATCGAATTCCGCAGCCTCGTCAATGGGGTTGTCATCGTGAGCAAGGATGAGGTATCGAACGTTGCAACACATGAAAAGTACGAATATGACTAGGCACGCAAACGGTGAGTGGTGCCGTTTGCCGTACACTATTGGTTTTTTAGTTTTCTGTTTATTATATTACAACAAATTTAAAAATTCAAATAAAACTTGTTTGTAAAAATCTTTTTATTTACTAACATCAGTGGTCTTCAATTTATAAGATTTGCCAAAAATGAGCAAACACAAATAAAAATGTGTCTCCATTTTGAGTTTTTAGTTTTTTTTTTTTTTTTACCGCGCAAACACTTGCACACCACCCGCCACCATTTTCCAACCACCGGTCTCCCCATTTACAACCACCACTTGTTCTTCTTCCCACCACACTACCACCACCACTCAAGACCACCTACCCAGCCACCACTGCAGCCAACCAAGGGCTTAGCCTGCCACCACTCGGGCCACCACAGCCACCAACCTACCTGCACATAAAGCCCAACCACCCGTC